AGGGCAGAATTATATTTCTCTTATTTCAATTTAAATATGAAATGTCTGCTACAGGCCATGTTCCAAAGCCTGGATTTCAAGCTCCTTGTTTGCCATGAGCTTAACATTGCCATGAGCTTTTAGAAGTCCTCAGTCTAGTGAACTGCAAATGTATTGGAGGAAGGAGGTCACTGTTGTGCTGTAGCATAATAGGTGCCATTCCTAAATCTGTGTTTGTCACTGTCTCCTGGATACCACTACATGGCCTTCCTTCCTCTGCATCATCATTCAATAATTCCCATTTTGCATAAGTCAACTAACACTCAGCTCTATTATTGTTTTTTTTTTTAAATAGTCTTTCTGTCTCCTTGGTTGTTTATTTTTTTCATTTTAGTTTTTTGATTTAAAGACATAGTCTCACTTTGGAGTTCTGGCCAGCCTTGCACTCACTATGTAGGTTAGGCTGTCCTTGAATACATGGGCATTCTACTGTTTCAGCTTCTTCGTTGCTTGGGGAAAGAGGTGGGCATTATAGCACATGGTGTTTGTCTTTTTTCTCCTCTCCTTTTCACAATTATTCTTTCATTTCAGTGGCACTGTCATTTAACCCTGGTGTTTGCTTGTGTCAGTAAAGGTTTCTGCAGCTTGACTTGAGTTTGTGAACAACAATATAGGAAGCCAAGCAACCCAATTGAGAAATGTGAAATTTCATTAGCTGGTCTCAGGACCACTTGTATACAGAACCCCCACCTCCATTTCAAGATCTAAACAACAGGCTTTGAACTGGAAAGTTAGAGATGTTTTAAAAGATATAATCACAAAAAGATCTGTTGGAAATCATTTAGCTAGAATCTTATAATAATGGTTGGATGACAACTGTATTCTGCTTCTTTTGTTGAGCAGGTTGATTTTTTTCTTTGGGTACAGCTCATGTTGCTTTTCTCCTGGGACTTCTACCCTGTGTGATTTTCCATTTTTCTGGGTGAAATACAGGGCACTAGTTATATGCAAAGCTCAAGATGGCATCTATCATGCCAAGCTACAACACAGCTCAGTTACAAGCCTCAATATTTTCTAGGGTAAAAACACACATATCTATAATCCCAGCACTCAAGGGGCTGAGGCAGGAGTGCTGCTTTGAGGTTAGGGCAATCCTGCGCTCCATAAGGGGTTCAAATCTGGCTGATATACATAGAGAAAACAAAACTAAATTAAACAAATAAAACTAAACAAAATAGACTGATTTCTTCAAATCTTAGTTCCATATCTTGGGGATTAATTTTTTGTATATACACATTTTTGAGACAGCAAATTTGATGCTATATTGCAACTCACAGCTAATGTAACAGCCAAATAGCAGCACTGATTCTTCTGCTGAGTAACTGCAAGAGTCCCTGTGCACTGTCTCTAATGCAGAGCTCATAGTGAGAGCCTGCAAGACCAGCATCCATAAAGCACAGAGGCAGACAAATATCTCATGAATCACTTTGATGTACTACAAATGATATCTCTTCAAATCTCAGTTAGGCCACTGAGTCCTTTGTTCTTAATATACTTAAGCATCATTTTGATATTTGAATTTGGTTTCACATAACAAAACATAAATAACATCAAATATGGTACATAAATAATAAATCAAATGTTCATGGAAAACTGCTGTATGTAAAAAACTTATAAACAACGAAACCAGGTGCAAGCTTCAAATTATAGCTCAGTGTCAACAAGTGATCACTTTCCATCCAGATATAAGAAATATATCTTGGGAGGCTGATGCAGGAGAACTGCCTTGAGTTTGGGGCTAGCCTAAGTTACAGAGCTGTCTGAAATAGAGAAACCCTGACTGAGACACCCCACAGACAATGTGAAACTTGAAAAGTGACTGCATAAGACATCTTTGGTTTGCTTCAAAAAATTATACCCATACAATATAGAAAAATTCCACAATATTCAACATTTTCTGAGGAACAAGGTTGATATCATCCATAATATACAGAAAGCACTTTCAGAGCTGGGTATTTAGCTAGCAGCATGAAAACCTAACTGGCAGGCTTGAGATCATGAGTTCGATCCTTGGTACACAAAAAAATTCAAATTTCACCTTCATGATACTTGGTCATAATTTGAGATAATCAAAACTAGATCTCCAGTGAAGAACACAGAATTCATGGGTTGACAGGGATGTGGAATACTGATTGTTTCCAGATTGTTATTCACCTCAAGGAAGATCTCATAAGCCAACTTTAACTTCATGCTTACCCTAAGAACTACCTGACTTTCAGTGATGACCCTCTCTGTTGTATGTCCTGCTATTTGCACACGGTTTCCTGCTGGTCACTTCCACATACTTTCCATGCTTGTCTGATCCACCCTACACAGAAAACCCTTCATGCCTTAATTATTGATATCCCTGCACAATCTCAATTTAGGGCATCTCTTTTATATGACTTAGTAAAGTCCATTGCAGAGCATTTACATATTTAAACAATGTATATGATCAACCAAACTATTAAATCAGCTCTTAATTCAGAGATAACACCCACATTCCTTTCCATTCAGAAGGATGTCACTTGTATATGTTCATGCAAATGACTACATTTAGGCATTTTTCAGTGAAAATTTAGCAGGCAGCCATTTCTGGAATTTGTCCTTAGTGAGTGCACTTTACCCTGCCCTTGATGACACTTTTATATCTGCTTCATTTTTCTCAAAATCCAAACCTCTGTGGCTGTTCTCACAAAGATAGTCTATGAGCACATGTGTCACATAAAGTATGTTCAGAAATTATTTGCATTGTTATTTATAATACACAGGAGTTCACCAGGTGTTTGGAAAGCCTTCCTCCACTGAAGCAGATCACTACACAACTCTGAATTCTCTTGATTTTGCCAACACCTGTCATGAGATTTGAAATGTGAGAACATACCATGAATTTAGGCAATCCCTATAAATACAAAAAAGTACAAGTTTAAGGAGTGCCGTTGTGGATATGAGGCCCTGCAATATATTACATACATTTATAAACTTTAGAACATCAAGATTGCTGATCCCTGGAATGAGAGCAGAGACCAAGCTCAGTACTGCTGCTCCAGCTACAAAATGCATCAGAGTCAGGCGCTTCCCAAGCTCCTTCCTTGGCTCCCTATGGTGGAGGTGCCAGGGAAGTAGAAAATTTCAAAGATGATCCTCCAGTCTGTTGCTGTTGTAGTTAATTCAGGGTTCTGGAGACACGGAATCATCCTTGCCCCCAGCAGGAGAAAAAAGGGAAAGTGGATGACCCAAGGCCAATGCTAGAAGATCTCAGGAGCTGAAGTTAACTAAATACCTGAGTCTACAGACACCAGAACTGCTTCTAACTTCTTGTAACTGATTTCTCCCAGTTCCACCCTATTTCTGGGCTCCCATCCAAAGCCTCACCATTCCGTGGCTAGAGGTTCTCCCAGGTTCTTTGCTAATCAGGCCACAGGACAGCGAAACCAGTAAATGAGATCCAGCAAGCATTCTGCTCCCAGTTTTGTGTTCCAAACAGGTAAACAATGTCTACACACCGGAAGAGACCTCCTGCCATGGGTCACCTGATTGGACATTTCATATAGCCTGCCTCTTCATCACTGATTGACTGCTGCTCTACTGTTCTCCTTCTGAGTCAAAAATAAACAGAGAAAGGAACTCCTTCCTGCAAGAGAGGATCCCAAATGATAGACAGTAGTCAGAGACTTCTGTAGCTGGTTGTCTTCAACAGTATTGATCCCAGCTACACAGAGGAATATGTGTACCAAATTACCTTACCTCAGCTTTACATTTCCAAATCCATTTCATTTCAAGGATAAAAAGAAAAAAATGAACTAAAACTAAATTTCAAAACATGTGAATCAGGGGGCAACACTGGTATATATATTGCACACTGTTATCCCGGATCATTCACCCAGAGCCCAACACATCTGTAATCAATTTTCCTAAAACTACTGTTATGTGGAGCTGAGTTGGTTAATTATGATTAGCAATGAGACAGGGCTAGGTCCTCTGAGGAGCCCATGCAGAAACCCCTATACATTGCAACTATGGAAAAGATGGACAACTCCTGCTATGGAAGATCAACAAATTCATCCATATCCTAAGGACTGATATTCTAAATAGTTTGCTAGCACTCTGAGGAAGTCAGGAGTCACCATTCAAAGAAATGTATCCTTATCCTAAAGACTGACATCCTAAATAGTTCCTATCATTCTGATGAATAAGGAGTCACTCTCCCAAAACCCTAAGGGAAGATTCAGTGCTGCCTAAGAATGCCTGCTTTCTGTGTGACTCCCTTCTCCCTTTGTTCCCAATTTAATCAACTTTACCTGAACTATTAATCTTATTGGCTACCATAGGTCTGTCCCATCTGATTCCCATCTGCATTGGTAGTTCCCAGTTTTCCCAACCTTCTAGCCAACTCACCACCTGATTTTACTCTATAAAAGTCATTGGAAAAGACAGCCTTTGCCAACCCAGTCAGGACGCATTTGCTCTCTCTCACACAGCTTTCTTTCTCCCAATAATTATATTATCTTGACTTTTATTTTTTCTAAAATTCATTTTTTTGACTTCAGAGAACACAAACTCAAACCAGACATAGTAGACCTGGAGTTTCATTAACCTATAGCAATAACAGTGTAAATTTTTCTCTTTCTTGAAGTCAGAGAAATCAGTAGATGATTGTATTCTTAAATTTTGATCCCACATGTTATGGGACACTTGCACTGACGGGCTTTACCCCTGCCTTTTAGTGCTGCTTCTGTTTTCTGAAAGTGAACTGATCTGTAGTTTTGTTTATGCTATCTACAATGCATTAAGGAAATGACTGGATACTTTCCTTGTGAAATGTTTACCACTAACCATGGGAGAAGACACATAGCAAAAACTATTTTCATTTCTTAATTTAAACTTAAAGGATGTACTTTAAAGAGTTTTGCCCTAGAATAAATTACAGGATATCATGGAGGTAGTTCATCAGGGTGAAAGGTCAAGTCAGGGATGCTTACCTATATGGCTACTTCCTCTTTTTCCCCTGAATACAACTTCCTCATTCCTTTCCCAGGGGCCAAAAGAAAATTCCAATCAGCTTCTTACATGATATCAGTGTCAGTGCCAGCACCACCAAATTTCAAATATACCCTATAATCCCATAATCAGTCAGAAAAAAGGCAAACCCTTGGTGGCTTTAGGCTCCTCTCCACATTCTTCAAATAGAAAGGACACTTCTACTTTTTCTTATATTCTGTGAAAGGGTTTTGGCCCATACAGGACTTTGTAGTCAGGAAAGCATCAGCCAGAAGCAGGAAGTCCCTATCTCCCTGCCTCTAGGAATTTACCTGTGATGCCATCTTCCCACCCCTGGAAATTTACCTATGGCGCCAAACCTAGGACCAATGGGCTACCTGAGCATCCCCAATGCCCTCCTTCGGTTCCACCCCAAACCAAGTCTACTTACATACCCCCAACCCACGTGTATGCCAGAGAGATCACTGGACTCCAGAGGTGGGGGGTGCCAGTCATCTCTCTCCATGTTCTCAGAATAAAGACCTCTTTTTGTTTTATACTTCTCATCTTTTGGAAATATTTTCCATCTTTTGGAAATAGTCCTATCATTGTGCTTCTCTACTGGGCCACAAAATCATAACAGTACTGATTCGTGTCCATGTATGAAGCTAATTTACCTCCTCAGTAATTCACATGCTCTATGCCATGAGTATCCAATGGAAATTAATGCAGTGGGCTTTTGCTTCACTCTATCAGTGTCAATGCAGTGAGTTTACTCCTAAGATAAAAATAAATCTTCATACAAGTTTCAAAACAAAATTATGCATCAAATTATAGCCAAGGTCCTAGAGGCCTACAGACAGCTTTCAGTAATATAATAGAAGCCTTCTAGAAACTGAAAAAAATACACAGTTTATCTAATTAAAAATTGTTCAAGCAGCCAATAGTGTAGAAATTTTTCTGAACAATTATAGGTGAACCTTCTCTTTGGTAAGATATAACCTAGTGCCATGGCACAGTCTATGTCTTGATAAATAATACAATCAAAGCAATTATTTTACACTTATAATGACTGTTGTATACAATTTTAGATGTTGCCAGGACTATAATCATGGTGAATTGCATTAATCACTTGAAACTGCAAGAAAAGGAACAAATTTCAGACATTATAAAAGTATAGTCATGTTAATTTGGCTCACGTTAATAGTATAGGGGAATGAAACTCCTTAGTTACTATATATCTGGTATGAGTTTGTGTTCTCTAAAATTGAAGAATGAATTTCAGGAATGATGGAGTTTAACAGTGGAATATATTTATTGGGAGAAGGAAAGCTTCTGTCTGAGAGACAGGAAGGGTCTCAGTGGGTTGCCAAAGACTGTTTTTTTGAGGAACTTGTATAGAGTTAAATCATGAGGTAAGATGGGTCCAGGGGAGGGGAAAAATGGGAATCTGAAAGTTAAGCATAGGTGGAGTAGAAATGTGGTCAACCAATAAGGTTAATTGCTCAGGTAAAACTGATTAAATTGGGAGCAAATGGGAGAGCAAATCATAATAAGTGGGCAGGTTTAAGAGCAGAGACTCTTCTTGTAGAGGGTTGGGAAGGTGACTCTTGTGTTCCTCAGGGTGATCAGAGAACTATTTGGACTGTTGGTCCTTAGCACTTGGTTGTATTTAATTTACCTTTTGTTTTGAGATTTGGCCCACAGCAGGAGGTGATTGTCTCTTGCAATCCTGCAAGCAATCTGAACTTATTTACTGGCTCCTTTGAGGGGCAAGCCCTGTTGTTACTGGCAGCTGAGTTAGTTAGAAATATATAGCCAGGGAGACAGGATCATGTCCTTAAAGTGACCAGCTCAGAAGCCCAGATACCTTGCAGCTATGGGAGACAGATACCTCCTGTTATGGAACATGCCTCAAGAGAAAATACCAAGCAAATGCGTCCATATCCTAAGAATTGATTTTCTAAATAGTTCCTTGTCACCCTGCTGAAGTCAGGAGTCACCCTCCCAATCCCATAGAGGAGAGTTACTGCTCTGTAAAATGCCTGCTTTCTATGACCTTGCTTCCCCATTTGTCTGCAGGGTAAATGATTTTGCCTGAACTATTAATTATATTGGCTAAACATAGTTCTGTCCAAAGTTATGCCCATATTCCTTGTGAGTTTCCAATTTTCCCCACCTTAAACCCATCTCACCCCATGATTTTATTGTATAAAGTCCCTAGAAGATACAGAGTCCTTGACAACCCACTTATGACCCCTCCTGTTCTCTCAGACAGAAGCTTTCTGATAGGGTTTTCACTGTGGTAAAGGATAGAATATAAAGTAAAAATGGCCTTTATTCTAACAAGGTAGAGAGTACCACATGACAACTAGACATTTGCCTTTTTCTGCCGGATACATGGTGAGGGGGCTCATATCTACTTTTTGACTGTGGTGGTGCTTAAAGGTGGCATTGCTGATGTGCCAGTAGCTGATAGGGACTCTTTGCATGCCATAGGTAAGTTGCCTAAGGGAGAGGTAAGTGACCTCAGGGTAAATGTCCCCTGGCCTGCTTCCCACTGCTATAATATCCTATCTAGAGCAAAAATCTTTCACTTTTTTCTCTCAGTAGTTATATTCTGCTCTTCATTTCCATTGTTGCTAAAATTCATTCTTCTATTTTATAGAACACAAACTCCTACCAGACACAGTAGGCCAGGAGAGTCATTCCATTATATCACTATCTGACTGCCTATATTTCTAACTAACACAGCTGCCTGTGACATTAAGAATTATTTATTTATTTATTTAACTTAGCATAATTGTAGCAAATAAAATGTACTTAATGGATGTAGTGAAATATCTGATAAAATTGAAAAATTATTATCACAGTTTCTCTATCATCACCAATCATTTTCATCTTTCAACTATGTGGGGAAAAATAGAAGCAGTTCTCAGCAAATAGCAATGGTATAGTGCACAGTGTATTATTCACTGTAGTTACCATGTTATTTGTAGGTACTTCATAGATGACAAAAGAAACATTGAGCTTTTTAATGAACAACTATCAATTTCAATAGTTGTGCTCATAGCACTACATGGTGGTTGACAACTGTAGATTTTTCTTTGGTACCAGGGATTGAACTCCTGACCTTGTGCTTGCCAGGCAGGTGCTTTGACCACTGAGCTCAATACACAGCCCAACATCTTTAGATTCTAAATATGACTGTTACCAATGTTTAATTTGCCATTGACATATTTAATTAAAAATCTTGTTAATCTACATCTTCAATGAAATTATTTTCTTTCATTGCAGTTTAAAACACTTTCTTTTTAGGTACCGGGGATCAAACTCACAACTTAGCACTTCTCAGGCAGGTGCTTCTGCCTGCTGAGCTAAATCCCAGGCCCCCATTAAATAATATTTTATTAAATGTATAAACATTACTTTATCCTTTGAAATAGTATTGTTATTTTACTAGAGGAGGCCAAAGTAGAGAGGAATTGTTATACAGTCAGAGAGGAAATGGAACCTCAAAGGAGTCAGTGTAAAAACCTAAACACAACAATCCCTGCTAAAGGTACAACTGAAGAAAGCCAAAAGGTGAATTATGTAGTGACCATGTCTACATGCCTCCTGAAGAGAAAAACAATAGCTTTAAATGTACTTCAGTTACCACCACCTCCTCCTCCAGGAAGTCCAGAGAGGCATCAATTACCATACTCAATGACCAGAACAACTGGACTATTGTTCCCACAAAATGCCTTGGCTCTTTCAACATACTTTTTCTGGTTGACTTCTTCCAAGGTTCAATAATATTAGTTAAGCCACTACAAGTTTTTAGGTTGATTGTAGTTTGAGACCCACACTGTACCCACATAATGCCTTTCCTGTAAAAATGACCCCTGACAATAGGTCTGTGCCTTAATCACTGAAGAACATTCCTCAAAATCCAGGGCTATTCTCTCTTTTTTCACAGAAAACTTTCTGAACTTCTTTTGTTTTGTGACTTCATTCCTCAATGTTGTGAGTCAACCAACTTGCTGCATTTAACATCAAACAGGGCAGGATTATATTTGTCCTATTTCAATCTGAATATGAAATATCTGCTAAAGGCCATGTTCCAAAGCCTTTCTGTGAAGCTACTTGCTCACTCTGAGTTTAAGATTTCTATGAGATTTTGGACCTCTTCATTCTAGCAAATTGCAGACTTATTGGAGAAAGGAGGTCACTGTTGTGCTGTAGCACTATAGGCACCATTTCTAACTCTATATTTCTCTCTGCTGCCCAAATGCCACTACATGGACAGATTTCCTCTGCAATATCATTCCATAATTGCCAATTTAGGTCCGCTTTCATTCAGCTCTATTGTTTTTGTTTTCCTTTGATAGTCTTTCTCTCTCACTTGGTTTTTTACATTTTTCATATTTATTTTTGTTTTTAAAGACATAGTCTCACCTTGTAGTTCTGGCTGGCCTTTCACTTTCACTGTGTAGGTTAGATTGTCCTTGAATACATGGCCATTCTCCTGTTTCAGCCTCTTTAATGCTGTTTAAAAGAGGTGGGCATCATAATACATGGTGTTTGTCATTTTCTTCCCTCCTTTTCACTATTATTCTTTCATTTCAGGGGCACTGACATTTAATCCAGATGTTTGCTTGTGTCAGTAAATCTTTCTGCATCTTGAGGTTAGTTTGTGAACAACAGGATAGGAATTCAAGCATCCAAAGTATAAATTTGAAATTTAAATAGCTGAACCACTTGTATACAGACAACTCTCCCCATTTCAGAATCAAAATAAGTGGCCCTGAATTGGAAAGTTAAGCATTTTTAAAAGAGAGAATCACAAAAGACATCCTGTTTGGAAACAATTTAGCTAGAATCTTAAATGAATTTTTATTTGACACCTGTATCCTGCTTCTTTTTTTAGCAGGTTACTTTTTTTCTTTGGGTACAGCTCCTTTTGCTTTTCTCATGGGACTTATATCATGAGTGATTTTTAATTTCCCTGGGTCAAATACAGATCACGAGAGAGATGCAGGGTGCAAGATGGCATATTTTGTTCCAAGCTACAAAACAGCTGAGCTACAGTGCCAAGCCTCAATATTTTCAAGGGTAAAAAGTAAACAATGTTTGAATATTTCATAATTTGTGATGTTCATCCTTATAATAAAATGT